CTGGCTCCTAATTCCAACCCCGGCTCAGACTCAAACTCCGGGCGGACTGTCGACTCCGACTCCGACTGCACAGCCTTATCAAGTCAACGTGGTCTAGGATTTTGGTGACTCCGTCTCCGACTTCGACTTCCAAATCGATTTCGACTCCGATTCCGCTCAGAAATGGCGGCTCCGGCCTACTCAGACTCCGACTCCGCAGCTCCGTACTCCAGTACCTACCTATTATCCACCGCCCTCAGCACGGAGCAGCCCAACTAACGTTTAGTTAATCCGCGGGGCGTGCAGCGCGCAGCGGCAAGAGAAACGTTCAGTGAATTCAACGACTTTCGCTGTTATATTTTTTGACATTGCACCTCAATTACCCAAAAGTTGCTCATAGGATCCATTTATTCTGCAGGAGGCTGCTCCAGAGGCGCACTGCCTCAGGAATGACGCCAGTTTCGACAGGCATCGACAAAAAGGGACCTTCATGATTTTTTTCATGATATTGCATCAGATTTGCGATGATAATATTCGGTCCCATCAGTTGTTTTCTCTCCACTCTTCCGGCGGGGCAGAACCACGTTCTTTCGCCTGTGGGAGCGGGCGTTCAAGTTAACCGTTAATCGACTCGATCTCTCCGATTGGCCGACACATACCGGCCGCTCCGCCCTCTGGCCGCCCATTGGTCAACGGCGGATGATGACGCTCATGACAAATGGAGCGGTTCGCGCGCATCGCCCAGATCGGTGACGGGTGGGAAGCTGAGAGGTGGTTCCAGTCCAGCCTGCCTGACCTTTCTAACGACCGGCCGAGTTCAACACTGGTGAGTGTGAAATATTGTTTAGTCTGTTCAACATGCACTGTATATTCACTCAACAATGTCGGAGCCATTGAATACGTGGTTAATAACAGTTCTGGCTCAGAAAGTGGCAACTTATTAAATATTGGTATGGCTGACTTCTCATCGCATGTGAAAGAAAAAGATCAGCAGAAAGCAATTAAAGGCATTCAATGTTGGCCAATTTGAGTGTTTACAAATATTCCATGATTATTTGGTATGATTATTTGGTTAGATTATTTGGTTTTCATCCCTCTCTCCTGCGTTTCTTTTTTTACTTTAATGTTTTCTTTAATTCCATTTTGACTCCACAATTGACCCATATAAGGAAGCTCTGCTCCTCATTCACCGTGTTACCCAGAGAAATGTGTTATGTGAGCTATCTTTTCGTATTGATTAAGTCATGCCATTTTCCATGACCTCACACCGGTCCCAATTCGGTAACGTTTCTCATTTTCTATGTGTGAGACCAGAGTATCTGAACGATTGTAACTCATTTGTCTGCAGATATTAATGCAAAGAATGTAATGTAAATCACTTACACAAAAGGGCCAACACGTAGAAAAATGTTACAACTATACCGAAGTGGGGTGGCACCAAGCTGAGGTAATAGAAAAGGGGCGAACAGGTCAATACGGAAGGCTTTGTAGGCAGTTCACATTTTTTGAAAACACGGTGAAAAAGAAGTCGGCCGGTCTTCTTAACCTGGGCCAAGTTTGGAGCGTTTAAGAAAGCGAGAAAAGCGTAGAAAAGAGTAAAGAGAAATCTAAAACAAAAATTATAGGTACATTCATGAATGAATCTTGAACGAATAACATTTGACAGCAGTTCTTCTCGGCCACTGTGCTCTCGACTTCGTGACATAAAACGGCGTTGTTATATTTCGATTCTTTCTAAAGTTTTTGTTAAAGTCTCACTGTAAATCTCACTGCAAACGTACCCTTGAACGCAGCACGAGAATTGCAGACTGAATAGCTGAAAACTGGTTAGCGCACGTACACTGGAGCTATGAAAAATAATTCCAAAATAACTTGTAAACAACGATAATAGCCGTTTTCACGACGGGCTATCCGGCGAATGCACCTGATTTGACCAAATCTGCACCTAATTTCTTTTATAGCAAATATCTTCATTTTATTAATTCATTTCAGTGCTTTAATCGATGATGCTCTCTGACAATATGAAAAGCATGAATATAAGCAATTAGTGCAACCTTAGCTGATAGCTGCTAAGAGACAGACTGAACCTGATTTGACCAGATCTGCACCTAATCTGTACCAGATGTGCACCAACTGTGTACCAGATGGCCGTCGTGAAAACGGCTAATATAGGTACCGTAATGTTTAACGTCGCGCCGATTAAAAAAAAAGCAGTTATAAATCCTGACCAACTGTCTTTCCCTCTGGGGTTGTAAATATACCATGCGTCCCAAAACAAAATTATTCGGCTAAATGCCAATAACTTCTGCATTGGTCAACTGACAAACTCGAATAACGCACCATTCAACTCCTCGTGACATGGCAAAACTAATGACACCAAACATAGTTCCCACCTGCAGTCGACTTTGCTCAGAGGAGGTGCCCGAAATAACAGCCCGTGCGCCACATCGGCGTGGAAAGACGCACGCTATCCGGGTGCTTTGCATTGCTTGTGAAATATGGCTAATTTCAGTCATGACTTCGCACTACTTCAGTGCTGCGTGATTTTTGTGCGGGTGAGGGTTATTATTGTCCTAATGTGAGGGGAAGCAGGCGGGCCATGACCCCTTGAAGACCCGATTATCAGTCCACTGCACCAATGGCAGCGTATGGAGCAAATAACCGTACCTATGACCCTCAATTTGAGCGATTACCTACCCTTTACCCATTCAGCCCAACTAAACAAAGAATAATAGGCGTAGTCCTTTTTTGCAATTTCTTACTTAAGGAATATCATGGACTGAGGCCCTGAGGCGGACACAGGGCGTCTAAACGACCTTTGATTTTGAAGCTGACCAGCTTCCCATGAGGAGATCTTATTGTTGACATTTTCTAGTGCTGTGTGACTCATTTCAGCCCTGCAGGAGTAATTTTGGTCATTTATTCTTGTTTCAAGTGCTTTTGAAATGTGAACCATAGGCATCATTTTTAGTCCGAATGATCGAGTCCCACTTTGAACCACAGACTGTGAGAAGCGTCTGTGAGATGTGTCCAAATTAGATGTCCTTATGCAAAACGTTCTCCCAAAGATGTTTTATATCCTGAATTATCGTTATTGTGTTTTCGTGTTTGCCATGTTTTTGGCTACAAACATGCCAATTTTTATTCGAATCAGATTAAGAGCCAACAATTGGGAAAGAATTGTCTGGGTAAACTTTTTTGTGGGACACCCGGTAGACTTATAATACGAGCTGCGAGTCTGGGAAATATAAGGAGAAAGGTAGACATAATTTTGGATGAAGCTGATCGTTTGTGAAATAGATGAGCGGTTACCAGTTTTCTCAGTGTTAACCCTCGCCCGCACATGCCATTTTCCCATCCTAGAACGCACATGGGGGGGGGGGGGTGGTTGCCACCCCCCCGCGCCATTTCGTTCCTGTTGGAGATAGAGCTTAGCAGTAAAGACCAAAAAGATTCTTTGGGAAGAGACGAATCCAATGATACCCAGTTTTACCTTCCCAGGTCAGTCATTGGCCTTCCAGGTCAGGTCAAACTAAAAAATGTTGCTGTTTTGGGTCACCGTTGGATATCAAGTGCGCTGCTTATCAAATACCGATGACGATGCTGTTTTCTGGTGCCAAGCCAGCTAGAACCTCTTTGTCACACTATCCGACCAGAATTTTGCTGCTGAGGTCATTTCAGGTCAAGATAGGTCAAGGTCAATTACATGTGTTTGTATGTCTGTGTGTGTCTGTGTGTATACTGATGTGTGCACCGATTGTTTTTGGGTCCATATCACATGAAATCATGATCTGAGAAGCTTTTACCAAAAATGCAGTCAAAAAACTTCACAAAAAGTAAATTCAGCTTGCCTAAAACGCAATTATCTTAGATGACCTAGGTTGACCTTGACCCTGACCTTGACCCCTGTACATCGTCGAACAACATGTTCCATGATAGGTGGGGGAGGTAAGACTGGCAAAAAAGGCCGAAATCAGGGTGTCAAAAGCTCACAAGGCCCATAGGCAACGCAAGATGTTGAGAATTGGCCATTTGGGTCATGACATGACCTGAAAAACAAGGTCATATCTCCGAAACCAAAAATCACAGAAACTTGAAATTTTCAGTGGACCTCAAGAAAGGATAGACGAGCAGCTATACGAAACATCAGCCTTCTAGCTATAAAAATGTTGAGTGCAGAGCAGAAAGACTGCCTGGGGGGGTGGCAACCACCCCCCCCCATGTGCGGGCGAGGGTTAAAGCACTGAACATTTATGCAGCAGGTGGAACTGGATACAATGTCTGTGATGGGGTAAAATTGTAAGGAGTGAATGTTTCTAACTTATTTTACTTATTTTATTTGGTTTCAGCAAAATGCCAAAGGAGGCGATGAGCGCCGGGGAATGGACCGAGCGGCTCCGCATCTATGCGGAAACCGGCCGGTGGCCTCGGGAGCGCGGCATCAAGCCGGCGCCGCGCCAGGCTCATTGGTACGCCCAGCTGCAGCGGGTAAGTACCAAGTACAGCCTTGTAGTGAGTACACCAACGATGCTCGTTAAGTTGTCATGCTGAGTGATTTCTCCAATGTCCAGAAGTTTTTTGCATGTGGAAGGAGCGCACTGTGGGGGAGACCAAGTGAAACGGTCAGCGTTATATCGAAAACGTTGTTAAACCCGCGCCGGGTTGGCTGGATGTTTGAGCACCCCCCGTGCGCTTTATGGCATACCTGTACATGCATGTCTTCGGCACATGTTAAAATTTCAGACCCAGGTCTTTTAAGGTCAGGTCACCAAGTCAGACAGATGTCTTAAGTTTTCGCACATGAATAGGTATGCAAGCCGTTAACTCCGGCAGATTGAGATACCACGTATGTATTTCTTCCAGGTCGAGCGATGCCCGAGGCAGCTGGCGCGGGGTGGCCAAAGCCTCCTGTTCGGCGGGCGGCCCGGCCAATGTTCGTGTGGCTACCACGTGGTGAGTGTTGTTTTTTATGCTTGTTTTACTTGTTCGGCCTCTATGAAACCAATCAACTGAAATGTAAAATGAAAGTTGCTGTCATTGAAGGTGCGGCTCGGAATTTGTATCACCCTTGTCACGTACCCCGATTTTGTATCCTGTCCGCCAGTGTCACTATGTCGCTTGAGCCGATGTCGTGCTTAAAGCAACACATGTTTCTTATCGTTTTAATGGCATCTTCATCGCTACTCTTCTTAACCCTCTTGCCATTTTGCAGGATACACCAACGGCGCCTGAAGCGGCACCTCGGGCTCCGACACCATCTCGGGGTCCAAGACCTAGTCGGGCCTTAGACCCCAATCTGGCGCCAGCTTGGGTGCTCCAGCCACCCATGTCACGGGCGCTGCCACCGATCGCGCCACGGGTGGTGGCCCCAACTCCGGCTTCGGTCCCAGCCCCGGCCTCGGCTCGGACTCAAGCCCCGGCCCCGACCCCAGCTCCGACCCCGGTCTCTGCTCCGGGTCCGGCCCCGGTCTCTGCTCCGGGTCCGGCCCCGGTCTCTGCTCCGGGTCCGGCCCCGGTCTCTGCTCCGGGTCCGGCCCCGGTCTCTGCTCCGGGTCCGGCCCCGGTCTCTGCTCCGGGTCCGGCCCCGGTCTCTGCTCCGGGTCCGGCCCCGGTCTCTGCTCCGGCTCCGGCCCCGGTCTCTGCTCCGGCTCCGGCCCCGGTCTCTGCTCCGGGTCCGGCCCCGGTCTCTGCTCCGGGTCCGGCCCCGGTCTCTGCTCCGGGTCCAGCCCCGGTCTCTGCTCCGGGTCCGGCCCCGGTCTCTGCTCCGGGTCCAGCCCCGGTCTCTGCTCCGGGTCCGGCCCCGGCCTCGGCTCCGGTTTCGGCTCCGGCCCCGGTCCCGGTGTCGGCTACGGCTACGCCCTCTGCCTCGGTCCTGGCCCCAGCGCCGGTCTCGGCTCCGGCTCTGGCTCCGGCTCCGGACCAGGCCCGGGCTCAGCCTCCGACTCTGTCTGCAGCGCCACCGCGCAGGCGACTTCCGGTACGTGCGTGCCTTTTTTCGTGAATTTCTTGTCACGGAAATCTACTCCGGTATGACACAAGTCTTCCTTTAATCGCATTGCTTTGGGGTTGCATTTAACGTAGCTCACATTCAGACTGCCGAGTTTCGACGCGGACCTCACAGCCGTCCGTTTATCAAGCTAACCCAACTACCAGTCTTCTGTTTTTTTTTTTCAGGCAACACACCAAGCCATACCGGCAGATGTCTGGCGCCAGCGCTTAAGGCGTTATGCGCGGACCGGGGTATGGCCACGGGAGCTGGGGATACGACCCGGGCCGCGCATCAAGCGGTGGTTTGCCGAACTTCAAAAGGTATGTGAGCACAATTGATTGAAAGAGACACAGGCAGTGATAACCCAGCCGCCGTCCTTGCACATGAATGGTCATGTGCGGCACCATGCCTGGCTTAAGAACCGGCCGTTCCCGTGAAGCAGTACTCTTTTGCTATGGCTTATTTTAAGCTGAATTTTCTACTTGCTACTTCTGTGACCTCGTGTACAGCATTTTAAAGAGTAAGCATTCACTCAGTTTGGGTGCTGGAATGGATGCATCCATGGAATGGCTGCCCCAGTCGTGTGCGGTGTGCGTATGTACATATATAACCGTTTTTTGTTTCATAGGGCATCGACAAAGTAATAACGTGTTGCTTTTATTGCTGTTATCATTAAGCTACGGGTCGACTCAATACCTGAATGTCTGTCTTATTTACTAAGACTTAAACTGACCCTCCAGTACATACGTTTTGTAGTTCAGACGATTTGTAGTTAAGAAAATATGCACCTATTACAGATTGAAAAGTGCCCTCGCCATCTGGTAGCGGGGCAGCCACCACTGTTTGGTGGACCCACCAGCCGCTGCATTTGCCGCTACCACGAGGTAATTGACTAAGCAGCATCCCTATCTTTGATTGCTGGTGCTGATGAAGGAAAACGTTTGCGATTCATATTTAGCAGTAATGTTTCGTTGTCAGCGAAGATGAATTTCAGATGTCGCCCGTTTTCCCTCCCTAACCGTTTTCCACGCCAATTGCACAACAAATCGCGTCCTAGACCATAACGTAGGACTACGTTGCAATCCATTTTTTTGGTAAACATTGATGTGTAAAAGGCTCACATTTTCAGCTTTAAGACACATTTACCTATGTCTAAGAAATTGGCAGTACTGGCAAACCACCAACAGTTACAGTCAAACGCACTGAATGAGGTGTTATTTTATCACCGTTTCAGGATGTACAAGCGACAGCGTATTCGCCGCCGACTCAGGCTCGAACGCCGGCAACGGGACCTGCCGGGGAAGTGGTAAGATGAAATTGTGACTGACTTGCTTGATTGGTTTGCAAATCGCAACAACTGTTTCCAGGGTCACCGAGTAATGCCTTTTACCAGAGCAAATAATTTGTAAAACTAGTTGTTTATAGTAGCATGCGTCTGTTTCAGGGTGCCCAAACGATGCCGCCACAGCCGCCGCTACCGCCCATCCCACCAACACCGCCTACGACGGCGCCGACCCAAGAGGCGGTAAGGCTGCAATGTGGTCACATTATTTGAGCAAACACATGAGATTCGTTTGAATGGGCGTTCACATGGCACAACAGCAAATGTGTTGCATATATGGTGTGCTAATCGTATGCGTCCATTTCAGGAGGTCCTAGCGGTTACGCCGCCGCCGCCGCCGCCGCCGCCGCCGGCCCAGTACCCGTCGCCAACGCTGGGGCCAGACAGCGAAGCGGTAAGTGGGGAGTGTGATTTGGTTTATTGGTATTCAAACCATAATTTTGGCTTCAATTGTCAAGCGTGAGTAACTTGCACCATAGCATGAATTAACAACATACCAAGTATTCTCATTAATAATTGTTCGACGCTTGTACACATGTCTTGATATCCCGCATAATCGGCAGCGTACAAATAATCACCCAGCGGCGCGCTAAATATGCTGTGTGGTATTGCTTCTCCATTTCAGAGTATTCCAGCGGTGGCGCCGCCGACGCCGCTTCCTCCGCTGTCGCCGCCGCCTACAACATGGCCGGACCAAACAGAGGTAAGACTGTAATGTGGCTATACTCGTTTTTAGGGATTGATTATGCCCAAAAAGTTCATTTGAAGGAAGTTCAGGTCAGTCAGATGGCATGTCACAAGATTACATATACTGTAAAGAAAATGTGTCGTAATGAGTATGTCTTGTATCAATTGTTGTTGTTGTTGTTGTTGTTGTTGTATTCTCAGCATACGTCTATTTCAGGGTGCCCAAGCGATGATGCCGCCGCCTCGTACGCCGGCAACGGGACCTGCCGGGGAAGTGGTAAGATGAAATTGTGACTGACTTGCTTGATTGGTTTGCAAAGCGCAACAACTGTTTTCAGGGTCACCGAGTAATGCCTTTTACCAGAGCAAATAATTTGTAAACCTACATAGTTGTTTATAGTAGCATGCGTCTGTTTCAGGGTGCCCAAACGATGCCGCCACCGCCGCCGCTACCGCCCATCCCACCTACACCGCCTACGACGGCGCCGAACCAAGAGGCGGTAAGGCTGCAATGTGGTCACATTATTTGAGTAAACACATGAGATTCGTTTGAATGGGCGTTCACATGGCACAACAGCAAATGTGTTGCATATATGGTGTGCTAATCGTATGCGTCCATTTCAGGAGGTCCTAGCGGTTACGCCGCCGCCGCCGCCGCTGCCGCCGCCGCCGCCGCCGCCGCCGCCGCCGCCGCCGCCGCCGCCGGCCCATTACCCGTCGCCAACGCTGGGGCCAGACAGCGAAGCGGTAAGTGGGGAGTGTGATTTGGTTTATTGGTATTCAAACCATAATTTTGGCTTCAATTGTCAAGCGTGAGTAACTTGCACCAGAGCATGAATTAACAACATACTAAGTATTCTCATTAATAATTGTTCGACGCTTGTACACATGTCTTTATATCCCGCATAATCGGCAGCGTACAAATAATCACCCAACGGCGCGCTAAATATGCTGTGTGGTATTGCTTCTCCATTTCAGAGTATTCCAGCGGTGGCGCCGCCGACGCCGCTTCCTCCGCTGTCGCCGCCGCCTACAACATGGCCGGACCAAACAGAGGTAAGACTGTAAAGTGGCTATACTCGTATTCAGGGATTGATTATGCCCAAAAAGTTCATTTGAAGGAAGTTCAGGTCAGTCAGATGATGGCATGTCACAAGATTACATATACTGTAAAGAAAATGTGTCGTGATGAGTATGTCTTGTATCAATTGTTGTTGTTGTTGTTGTTGTTGTTGTTGTTGTTGTTGTTGTTGTATTCTCAGCATACGTCTATTTCAGGGTGCCCAAGCGATGATGCCGCCGCCTCGTACGCCGGCAACGGGACCGACCGGGGAAGTGGTAAGATGAAATTGTGACTGACTTGCTTGATTGGTTTGCAAATCGCAACAACTGTTTCCAGGGTCACCGAGTAATGCCTTTTACCAGAGCAAATAATTTGTAAACCTAGTTGTTTATAGTAGCATGCGTCTGTTCTGCGACCCAAGAGGCGGTAAGGCTGCAATGTGGTCACATTATTTGAGCAAACACAGTAGATTCATTTGAATGGCCGTTCACATGGCACAACAGCAAATGTGTTGCATATATGGTGTGCTAATCGTATGCGTCCATTTCAGGAGGTCCTAGCGGTTACGCCGCCGCCGCCGCCGCCGCCGCCGCCGCCGCCGCCGGCCCAGTACCCGTCGCATACGCTGGGGCCAGACGGGGAAGCGGTAAGTGCGAAATGTGATTGGGATTGCTGCAGGCCTGGTCAATTTAAGTCAGGGCCTGGTTCAAACCGGCTTAAGTCATGATCTAAGCTGGCTGACTATCCCATTTGATAATTGATCAATTATTGTACGTAGTTAATCTTTATAACCCGCATGATCGGCAACGCTCAAAGAAATTACCCAATGGCGTACTAAATATGCTGTGTGGTACTGCATCTCCATTTCAGAGTATTCCAGCGCTAGCGCCGCCGCCGCCGCCGCTGTCCTCGCTGCAACCACCACCGCCGCCGCTGCGGCCGCCGCTTCCCCCACCGCCTTCAACGGGGTCGGCCAGGGACCTGGTAAGCTGGAAATGCGATTCGGCTTTATTAAACGAGCGTAAGGATAACGTCAATTTTATTGAGCAGTTACATAATCCAAGGGGAAGAAGCCTTGCTGTGAATGTGTTGTATCATTGTTACATGACTGTGTGTTTTAATATCGTTGTCTATTTCAGGGTGTCGAAGTGGTGCCGCCGATGCCTCCGACGCCGCCGCCACCAATAATAAGGGGGTCGCGCCGGGAGCAAGCGGTAAGTATTTCCATAACTGGGCGTCATTTAAAAGGCCCTCCCGCCTTCCAAAACGTTAAAGAATTGTCCTTAAAGTGATGTAGCGTGGTTTCAGAAGGCGGAAGAATGAATGTCTACTAAAGCTCATTTAAGGGACTAAGGGTTGCAGCTGCACCCCCTATCAACAAATACATTAAAGCGAAAACCAAAAAGTCTTACTCTTGTAAGGAAAATGTGCATTTTATGGGAACATCGTTATCGTGCGTGATAGGCAATCCCATGCTTTAATGAAATAGATGGTGTGTAGATAAGTTCCAATGTATCAAATGATTGCCTAGACATATGAAGACACGACAATAAATTCGAGATAGTCGTCCCAATAACCAATTTCTGTGTCCCAAATTAGCCTCGTGTCTGTCCCTTTTCTCCTGCGTGTGCCCCTATTCTCCTCAAGAGACTGGTTTTGTTTTCGTCCACATATAGCCACATCATTACATAGGTTTGGTATTTCATGATGGCATGATGCAGAGAAATGGCTGACCTTGTGTTTGGTGTTGCACAAAGCAGTTTGGCTACAATACTTTTCAAAGAATGTCTCAATAAATCTGGCCTGGGAAAAAAGTCCTAACTCTCCCGCCTCTCCGCTACCGCTAACTTGAAATTACATGGACCATGCTGACAATATTTCTCCCGTGTTTTTGTCTGCCTGATAACAGAGAGATCTGCTACCAAACGGATGGCGGCAAACTTTGCCACAACAAGATCACCGGTGGGTGGCCAGGGCGGTCTTTCGTCCGGACGCCCGCAGCGGTCGTCCCGCTCTGCGGGATGACCTCCAAGTATGGTACCACCCGCCACAGCCCTCTCCACGGACGAATCGGCCTCCAGATCAGGACGCCTACTTCGCGGCGCCCCTGCTGCTCTGGATGCCGAAGCGTCTGTGGGGAGTGACGCTCCGCTGCCCGCACCCGGAGTGCCCTGGCCGCCAGGGACGGACGCACGGCCACCCGCTGACCGCCGCTGGCATATACCAGCGAGTGCGGCGGGTGCTTGGTCTCCGCGGCTACTACCACCTGGCCGCGGAGTACCTAGAGTGCCGACGCTGTAGCCGAAAGGTTATCAGCTGGAGCTCGCCCGTCGTCGAGCAGCTCGACCTGGCGCACCGGTCCCACTTCCGGGTCATCTTAACGTACCGATGTGCGTTTGACCTGGAGGTGGTGCGCCTGCTGCGAGACCGCGGGCTGGGCAACAGTCCGTCCCGTCTGTACCGGCAGCTTCTGGAGGAGCACGACGAGGAGTGGCAGGCGCGCCAGTTGCGCTTCCTCGCCGACATCGTGGGCTTCCAGAAGTACGCCAGGAACCCGCCGCCGCCTTTACCCGACAGGTCAGCCGTCCTGACGTACCAGAGCCTGCTGAAGGCCTACGTCCTGGACGCCCACAGCCGGCTGGACACGTCCAAAGCGCTCATCACCAGCGTATTCGGGCGCGTCCTGAAAATGGACAGCAGCAAAAAGGTGAGAATGCACTGTAACGATATATATAACGATATATATACGATACGATATATATACGATATATATATATATATATATATATATATATATATATATATATATATATATATATATATATATATATATATATATATATATATATATATATATATATATATATATATATATATATATATATATAGCAATGATTGTTGACAATAGCCAATTTCACGAAGGTCATTTGGTACATATTTGGTGTAGAATAGGTGCAGATTTGGTCAAATTAGGTTCACTGTGTTTCTTTCAAGTAATTAGTTTGGTTTGCACAGATGCTTACACCTACCTCACTTGATAAATATCAGTTTTTTTTCGATGAAAACAAGTTCATGATCTGTAGCTATCCATTGTAAAAGATAAGGCAGATTTGGTCGAATTGGGTGCCTTCGCCAGAAAGCTCGTTGTGAAAAGTTATTCCTTGCTTAGGAATGTCACTTTTTTGCCGAGGTACCGTACTATCAGCAATTGTTCCGCTGAAAAGACACTATATTCTCGTAGGCAATTTAACTGACGCATATTTCCATTTGTTTCAGCTGACCAAAAAGCTGGCAGGGGCCGACGCCGGCACGGCTCGTTTTATAACGAACGTCGGAAACGAGCTGGGCCAGGTGCTGGTGTCGGTGCTGACCGAGTCGGAGGGCGCCGAGCTCGACGCCATGGCGGCGGGCCTGGTCGGCCGGTACAGGGCCGCCGGCGAGCCGCCCCCGATCGCACTCTACGTGGACCGAGACTGCTGCTCGCAGCAGGCGGGCGGTAAGCCGAGGCCGGCACAGATGTTCGCCGCGTGGCCGGATCTGCAGGTTCGGCTGGACGCGTGGCACTACCTCCGCCGGCTGGCCTCCGGGTGCCAGACAGACTCTCACCAGCTCTACGCCCCCTTCATGGCGAGCCTGTCCGCGGCGCTGTTCGCCTGGGACGAAGACGACCTACAGTTGCTGCGGACGGCGAAGAGGGCGGAGCTGATGGCAGATCGCCTCAGCGCCGTCAGCGACCGGGACGTGGACGAAGCCATCACTCGCGACGAGCTGGCGCGGCACTGCCGGCGGCAGGTCCGACCTCCGGCAGCAATCCGCGCCACCATCGACGAGGTCGTCGCCACGTTCACCGGTCCTGGCGGCCGCGATTCTATGGGGGTGGAGCTGCTGCGCCGGTCCATGCCGCGGATCTGGCGTGAGCAGCAGCGCCACCTTCAGTGCCTCCAGGATCCGGCGGGCCTGGAAATTTACACTGTGGTGCGGCACAGCAACAAGGGGGGCGTCAGCCTCCCGGTGTACCGGAGCGCCAGAGGGACCACCAGCCTGGAGTCGTTCCATCTTCACCAGGCCCGATTCATCCCCGGTAAGTTCGAAATAGCCGTTTTCAGGACGGGCTGCCTGGCGAGTGCACCTAATGCTCACCAAATCTGCACCCAATCTCTTTAGTAAAAAATAACTCCATATATAGAATTTGTTTCAGTGTTTCAGGCCCGATTCATCCCCGGTAAGTTCGAAATAGCCGTTTTCAGGACGGGCTGCCTGGCGAGTGCACCTAATGCTCACCAAATCTGCACCCAATCTCTTTAGTAAAAAATAACTCCATATATAGAATTTGTTTCAGTGTTTCAGGCCCGATTCATCCCCGGTAAGTTCGAAATAGCCGTTTTCAGGACGGGCTGCCTGGCGAGTGCACCTAATGCTCACCAAATCTGCACCTAAT